AGACTGGAGCACCCCCGAGACCCAACGATGACGCCCAGCAAAAAACGCCCGAATGCCTCAAAACTCGTCCCCGGGGGCCGAGGCATCCCCTTCTGAGCCCCGTCCTGGCGCCCCCCCCTGCAAGGGATGCCTGCGAGTGCCGCCGTCGGGGCGGGGATACGACACGGATGCATGGTTCCAGAGCGCTCCCAGAGCGCTTTGGTGTGGCGTCGCGCAAGCGGTGGGCGATGCATGAGGGTGGCAGCGAGGACTTGCAGGCCGGATCACCGACTGCCCCTACAGGGACTAGCACCCGCAGAACCAGAATATGGTGTAAGCTCAATTTCTCAGAGCCCCGCGCGGATTTCTTGGATCTGCGTTGGCCCTTCCTGGCGGCGTCGCTCCAAGCGCGCTCCGCGCGCCAGGGAGGGGGGCCCAGCGCCGATCCAAGCGATCCGCCGGCCCGGCGGAGCTCTGAAAGCTTTTTTGTTTGTGACGTGTCCTTGCTCCTCTTTTCCGGAGGGCCCCGTAGGGCTCAGGGCTCCGGAGGGGCTCCAGTGCTGAGGCCGCTCCCCAAGCCTCCAGGTCGCAGGACCTCTTCGCTGCGCTGCCGCTGCTCGCCGTGGCCAGTTCAGAGCCCCTTCGCCCCCTTCGGCCAAGTCGCCGAAACAAGGGTCGCCTTGGGTTCTCGGATGGGGCCAACTGCTCCTTCGGTCACTCCGCGGCTGTTCCTCTAGCCCTCCTCGTGCACCCGAGCGCCTTGGTGCCAAATCCGGGCATGTGATCGTTTTGTATATCTCATGTTTTGCCGATCGGCGCGGGCCCCCCAGCCCCCCCATGCCCGCCCCCATGGAGTAGATCTTGGCTGTTTTGGGGCACCTGTTTCGAGCAGGTGGACTCTCCCCCATAATGGACGCACTGTCGCAAACAGCCGCACTCAGCAGAGGTCCAGAGCCCTCCCCCCCCCTCCCCCACTCCCCCGTTCCGGCCAATGTCAAAACGTCGTTTTTTTATACAAAAAAGCTCACCATCGTTCCTCGTGTTGCGCTGCTTGTCTCGGCGCCCCGACTGCATGCGGCGTCGTTTCTGGCAGCGCAACGGCTGTAATCGGCAGGCCCTCGTGCTCGCCGCCCGCCCGCCGCCGCCAGCCCCCTCCGCCCGTCCCGCGCCCCAGCTGTTCCGTCGGGCAGGTCCGCCTACAGGAGGAGTGTCCAAAAATACTCAAAGCACGCTCCGGGGACGATTTTTTGGTCGACTACTCTTGGCCATTGGTTACTTCTCGTCCTCGTGCTGCGTTCCCTGTCTCGGCGCCCCGACTGTATGCGGCGTCACTTCTAGCAGCGCGATGGCTGTGATTACCAGGCCCTTGTGCTCGCCGCCCGCCGCCGCAAGCCTCCTCCGCCTGTCCCGCGCCCCAACTGCCCCCCCCGCCCCAACCGTGGTTTGCGCGTTTCGCCGTCGCCGGCTTTCGTCCGCCGGCACAGTGTCCTCCTCCTCCTCCTCCTCCTCCTCCTCCTCCTCCTCTCCTCCTCCTCCTCCTCCTCCTCCTCCTCCTCCTCCTCCTCTCCTCCTCTCTCCTCCTCCTCCTCCTCCTCCTCCTCCTCATTATCCTCCTCCACCTCCTCCTCCTCTCCTGCTCCTCCTCCTCCTCCACCTCCTCCTCCTCCTGCTCCTGCTCCCTTCCTCCTCCTACTCCTCCTCCTCCTCCTCCTCCTCCTCCTCTTCCTCCTCCTCCACCTCCACCTCCTCCTCCTCCACCTCCACCTCCACCTCCTCTTCCTCCTCCTCCTCCTCCCGCTGCTTGTCTTGTCCGCCAGGGCTCCATGTACAGCTGGGCCGTCTCACTGCGCTCGGACGCCGCGCAGCGATCCGTGCCATGGACTCGTTCCCCAGGCGTGGCTGAGGCGCACCGTCGAGGCGTGGGCGGTTGGCGGGCCAGCAACGTGGGAGCCCGAGAGAGGTCTGCCTGTCCGTGTGTCTGTCTGTCTGCTTGCCTGCCTGCCTGTCTGCCTCCCTGCCTGCCTGCCTGTCTGCCTCCCTGCCTGTCTGGGCTCGCGGTGGGCCTGACCAGAACCGGTCTGCCTGTCTGTCTGTCTGTTTCCTCTACTGCCTGCCTGTCTGTCTGTCTGTCTGTCTGTCTGTCTGTCTGTCTGTCTGTTTGTCTGTCTGTCTGTCTGTCTGTCTGTCTGTCTGTCTGTCTGTCTGTCTGTCTGTCTGTCTGCGGCACTGGAGGCGGCGACGGCGGCTCTGCTGCGGCGGTGGGGGCGACGGCGACGCGCTGCTCGGCGGGTGGCCCTCCGCGGCGCTGCCGCGGGCCGCCCTGTCAGCCTGGCGCGGCGCGGACGGCCGCGGGGAGCTGCGGCGCGCGGCTGCCTGCTGCGCTGGCCGGATCGACCTGGAGGGTTTCTCCGAAGGGCGTAGGCGACCCCTCCTCCTCCTCCTCGTCCTCCTCCTCCTCCTCCTCCACCTCCCCCTTCCTCCTCCTCCTCCTCCTCCTCCTCCTCCTCCTCCTCCTCCTCCTCCTCCTCCTCCTCCTCCTCCTCCTCCTCCTCCTCCTCCTCCTCCTCCTCCTCCTCCTTGGGTCGCCAACGGCCCCGGGGGTAACCGTGCATGGGCGCCAGTCTCGCACGCCTCTTTGCCGACGCCCACCCGCGAAGAAAGATCCGGCGCGGAGTCCGCCCGTCTGCGCGCATCTCTTCTTCTCGTTCTGTGTCCCCGCGGCGGGTCGGCTGCGCCCCCCTATCGAAGCCTGCCCGCACGGGCCGTCCGCGCCGCGGACCACCCCGCGGCCGTGCTCAGGACCTCCGCGCTCTCTCGGGGCCTGCGGAGCGCCCGTGCGGGCCGGCCCTCCCACTGCTGCGGCCGCGGCGGCCCCGAGAGCCGCGCGCCCCCGCCCGGGCGGCTGGCCGCGGTCCAGCGCCGCTGCCAGCCGTCGCCGTCTGGGTCTGCTGCCTCCCTGGCGCAGCGCGCCAGGGTCCACGCGCCGGTCTCACATCGGAGCCGTGGTCGGGCCAGGCGTTCCGAGAAGGGGATCTGGTCGAGGGCGCCTCGCTTGCACACCCTCGTCCGTTTTTTTTTTGTTGCTCGCCCTCCCTGCTCGCGCTCTCCTCCCCTTCCCGCCGTCCTGCCCCACCTCCGTCATGCCTTGATCCTGACATCCTCCCCTGCGAGGGGTCCGCTCTCTGGGAGAATTGCTCGCTCTCTGAGCCTCTGGTTGCACACAAGAAGTGTTAATGTTCAAAGCATCCGCGCTCTGCCGGAAGAGTTCTTTTCAGAGGAGCATGAAGTATTGATATTGTTAGTTTTCAGAAGTTCCACATTTTCCCGTCCTTCCGCGCGGGCTCCAGGGACGAATGGTCGAGCGTACTCCGTCGCGCAGGTTCTTTGCGTGATGTGCGCGGTGCAGTTTCCCGGGAAAAGACTCCCCGGGCGAGACTTCGTGAGCGGTCTGAGGGATTCGGTCGAAGGTTTTTTTTCCCAAGCCTCGATGCGAACCCTGCCCCCCTCCCGTCCCTGCCCTCCCTCTCTCCCCTCATTCTTCCCCCATCTGCCCTCCCCTCCCTCCCTCCCTCCACCTCCGCCCGCACGCTTCTCACCCAGAAGGGAAAAATGTCACAGACACAGAAAACGTCGGTTACCAGGAGAAGGTGGAAAAATATGGGAATTGGAACAGGAAGACGGACATCCATTTGAGGTTACAAGTACGGGGGTATGGGGGGGATCCTGGAGTTTGTATTTCTTTATCTGTGGCTCCCTGAGCACCTTTGCTCACTCCCCGCCCCCGATCCCATCGCTATCTTTTCCCCTCCCCAGATCTCCTCGCCTGCGGCATGACTGGACAACGCAAGGTGGTCCGCCGTCGGGGGCGCCTGTCCCAGGGCGGCTGGAAAGTTTCCGCCCCGGGCTGCCATCTCTGGGGGGCAGGAACTTGCCAGCCGCCCGTGGGACCCCCGACGGTGGAGAAGCTCCTTTCTTACCGTTCTCCGCCCAGGAGCTCCGGCTCCCGCCCAGAGGCCCTGAGGCTCGCCGTGGCCAGAAGAGCCGCCTCGTGCCTGCACTCCGCGCTGCCCACGGGAGCGCGGTGACTGCGAGAGTGTCCTCGTGCAGGGAGGGGCCTGCCGTGGTGTGCGCGCCTGTTGTCGTCCGCCCTCGGCGCCGCGACCGCGGTCTCGAGTGGCGCCAGCACGATGGCTGCCTCCGCACCCTCGAGCCCCTCGTCCCTTGTTCGCGACACCGTGGCCTGGGAGGCACTGTGACGCGAAGCGTGTTCATCGGGGGCGGAAAAGAGGGGGGTGATGACTAGGGGGGGGTGGATATCATGGCGTCGGCCATGATATTTCCCCAGATTTCATGGCGCCTCTTCTTGTTTCATTACGTCCCTGGCCCCCCCGCTGGGCCGCGCACATGCCGCCGGTCATGATTTGCACCCCCCCCTCTTGGACACCCCCCTCTTGGCCGCTCCCGAGTTCACGTCGAGGCTCAAACGGCCACGGGTATCCGAGATGTGGGCCTCGAGTCTGGGCCTCCTGGATGGGGTCGGAGCAGATGGGGTCTGAGGATCGCGCCGCATCGCCGATGCATCGGCGATGCAGCTTGATGCGGAGCCAGACTTGCGCCGCGCCGACGGTGCCAGTGCATCGCCGACATCGCTGGTGCATCGGCGATGCATCGGATCGGCGATGCGGCGCGATCCTCCGACCCCATCTACTCCGGCCCCACCTAGGAGGCCTCTATTCGACTAGACGTAAGAGTGACCTTTCGCCCGAGTGACCTTTGGTGCGGGCACAGATGGGCCCTCAGATGGCTGAAAACGCAGCAGTAGCAGCGGCTTGCGCGCCCAGGTTTGGTCTCCCCGCGGCCTCCAAAAAGCCGCGCACCAAAGGTCATTTTTACCCAGGGTCACTCCTGCGTGTAACCGATCTATGTCAAGGGAGAAGGAGAGGGGAGAGAGAGAGAGAGAGAGAGAGATGTGGGAGCAGGTCGCACGACGCCTGGCATCGCCGCGCCCCCCCGCCCGCCAGGCCCGCCGAGAGGGCGGAGGAGACGCCCGGCCGGCTCTCCCCCAGGACCAAGGGCGCCCTCGAGGGCGCGAAGTTACTCGCGCTTCGCGCTTCGGCTCCGAGTTCTCCTCCTCCTCATCCTCCTCCTCCTCCTCCTCCTCCTCCGCCTCCTCCTCCTCCTCCTCCTCCTCCTCCTCCTCCTCCTCCTCCTCCGCCTCCTCCTCCTCCTCCTCCTCCTCCTCCTCCTCCTCCTCCTCCTCTCTCCCCCTGGGAGGCGGCGCGAGAGCGCGAAGTGATTCGCACGTCGCGCCTTCGCGCAGCGCGGGCGCGCGAAGTTTGGGAGCCCCGGAGGACCACCGCCTGCGCGACGAGCTGCGGAGGGACGGGGAGCTGGCGGGCGACAAGGCCGCGGCGGCGCCGGCCCCGCGCGGGCCCCTCGTGGCCACCCCCTCGGCCGCGGCGGGGTTGTCTCGGCTGCCCTGCCGAGAGCACGCGTGCCGAAGCGCTGCACGCGCCGTGCTCGGCACGCCTCCCACGGACCGTGTTGGCCTTCGTGTACGTCGGGCCCGTCCTTCTGCAGGGGGAATGCTCAAGAATAGTAAAAAATAATATGGGGATTTTTTGTTGTGGTATGTTTTTGAACCATTTTGGAGTACGTTTGCGTAGTTTTTGTTTTTCGTCGAAAATCCCCCTGTAGGGGGACAGGCCCGATCTAAGCCTACGTTTTGGAGACTGTTTTTGTTTAGGCTCCGGCGATAACCCGGGTTGTCGGGCTTGCCCCCCCCTTCCCCCCCTCGGAAATTGGAACATATACATTACCAGTGGAGGGTCGAGGACGACGTCGGAGTGGTGTGATGTATACTTTTCTCCCGTTTTCCAAGGGAAACGACGAAACATGTATATACCAGGATCCCGTATACACCAAAATCCGCGTTCCTGTGCAAATTTCTGCGCAGGGTCGGGAAAAGCGTCATTGTATAGAGTTCGTTTCCCTACCCCCCCCCCAGGATAGCCTAACCTTGCCGGTTGTGCAGGTCCGGGGTGGGGGGGGCGCGGGCAGATGCAGGGCTGCCCACAGTTCGAAGGTTAGGCTATCGGCCAGCCCCCTCCTCCCCCCCCGGATAACCCAGGTTCTCGCCGATTCAGCAAAAGCGGTCTTTTGGCGAACGTAGCGCGGTAAATCCTTACGTGTCCAAGCTGCGCGTGGAGTTCCGTGCCAGAACGCGACGGGCTGCGTGCTCCAGATCGGGGCAGCGGAGGGTCGCGTGTCTCGTGTCGCACCTGGCGATCGCCTGGGTCAACGGGCCCGCCCGCTCCCCCTCCCTCTCCCCCCTGGACATCCCGACCTTGTCGGCTGCGCAGGGTCCGAATGGGGGTGCGCAGTACCGGTGCGCGCGGGCATGCGCGGGGGCTGCCCAAAGCGAACCTCGGGCGATCGCAAACATGGACCACGGGGGCGTGGATTAGCGACGGGTTCCGTTTCCATGGGAAATCGCGGATTTCCGCCGCTGAGCGAGGCGGCACCGGCCGCATTCTGGGGAGGGCACCTCCTCCGATCCATGGATCTGGCGACCGCGCACCAAATCCATGCTACTCCATGCTTGCGCGCCCCCGAGAATAGGTAATCGATTTGCACTTCCCCCTCTCCCCCCCCTCTGGATGACATGGGCGATCGCCCATCCACCAGAACGATCTCCCGGCCCGGCTGCTGGCACAGGGGGGCAACGGGGTCCAGACTTTCGGAGATCTGCGCCGTGAAGAAACGGTGCCCAGGGGGGTTGAGGTGATCAGGGAACTGGGGGAGCATGCAGAAGAACCATGGGCGAGGGAAGCCGTCGGAGGTGGGGGAGGGAGAGGTTGATGATGCAACGCGGGGCTTGGGGACATCCGTGCTCCTCTGCTGACTCGCCTGCAACTCTTATTACTAAAAGCAGCAACGAACAACAACAAAAAAGAAAGAAAGAAGGTGCCGATCCCTCGGCCTAGCTGCTGATGAGCCAGGTGTTCAAGGCCGTACGTGCGGCCTCCCTCGCCGCCTGGAGCCTAACCTCCTCGTCTGGGGGGGGCGCAGGGGCGAAGCAAGAGGGAGTGGGCACCTGGATTCGGCGACGGGCAGCCCGTCTCTCTTTCGCGAGAGCGCGGTGGGCCGCTATGCGGTCGCGCTGCTGCGAAGTAAGCTCGAGAGGGGCGGGGGGAGGCGGCAGAGGCGACGGGGGGGGGGAGGAGGAAGGAGAAGCCACTCCGCAGCTTGCTCCTCTGGGGAGCCATGCATAAGCTCTGCGTACTGCTGCTCCTCTGAAGCCTCGGCATCCTCGCCATGCGAGGGAGGCTGAGAAGCACGCCAGGGTCCGTTCTCGGCCACATCGGGGAAAGGGGTAGCTTCTTCCTCCGTGTCCGAGTCCTCGAACCTGTGGACTTCAGGATCGACTCGGTGAGACCCCCTACGCGAGAACCCCGCAAAGTCAGGAGCAGGGCTCTCCTGTGGAGGGTCAGCACGCTGAAACGTGGCGTAAAACACTGCAAGCGATTCGCGGATATCGTCATCATCCTCTGGATAGTCCAGGTCAGCACGGGGCGGGGTGGAGGACTCAGCCGAGGAAAGGAGAGACCTGGCACTATCCGCGATGGCCGAGGCGATCGCCTGGCACATCAGAGGCGGGTAAGTCTTTTTAGACGCCGTGTAAAAAGAACCCGAGGCCGTTTTCCCAAGAAGGGTCTGGTGCGAGCCTCTCGGGTGAGAACATCTACCGCCTCCTGGAGTGGCCTTGAGGAGCCTGTCCAGGGTGGGCATTCGAACAGAAAGGATAGTAGTGGGGGCTCGCCCCACCTGCCCTGGGTCCACCTCGGGACCCTGGAGCTCGCATTGATCGAAGGTGGTGACCGCGGCGCTTGGGGCCGCGGCCAGGGCCTCGAGAGGCCGCCAGCGAAACGCAGAAGGGGCCCGTGGGGCCCACGTGGGGTTGGCGGGATGTTCCATCCAACCCCCCGTGCCAGCCCTCAGATGCTCCGCCAGGAGCCAGACCAACGCGTGCAATAACTGAGACCCAATACGAAGCTGCTCCGACTGGCGCTGAGACACCCAAGGTAAGCCCCACATATACTGAGTAGACCTGAGAGGGGGGGGGCCTCCCTCATGCCACCGGGCAGCTGACCAAGTTTCACAGGGAGGCCCCCCCCTGTGTTGATGACCCTGTGACATCGTATGTGTTCCACCCATTCGAGAAGTGTCGCTTCCTTCGTCAGGTCCCCCCTGTCGGCGTCTATGGCTATGTCTACGCTGAGAATCAGCAGATGGAGGTCGGCCATGAGCATCTCATGCTCGAGTTGCCACTGGACGTCGCCTCTGCGACGCTGCCCGCAGTAGAGATGAAGTACGTACACTGTAGGACGACGAATGCGAATAGGAACTGATGATGCCAGAAACTCGGGATATTCACCAGGGTTGTAGACATAGAAGGGTGCCTCAGGGACAACAGGGAGCTCCGAGGGAACATCAGAACATATAGTAGTATACTGCGGGATGAGGTCATCGGGGATGGCAGGGTCAGCCTCCAAGAGAAGCTGAAGTGCATCACGGTGTGTAAGTTGCGAGGTAAGGGCCACAATATCGGGGTCTCGGGAGAAAGTGGGAAGACGCGTCGCAGGGACTTCGATACGCCACCTCCCTTGTCCACATGCTCGTTGATTTCGCATTCGTACGTCCTCCTGCTGCTGAAGTGCGGTGGCCTCTGCTACCGTGCACTGCGGTGCGGACGCGATGAGGCCAATTGCACAAGGTAGTGAGTCAAATGCAAAGTGCGCCGTGAGAGCAGACCGATGCGCAAAGGACTGAAAACATGTACAGCAGGAGAGAGACGAACCCTGACAATTACGAATGAACGCCACTCTCGAGTGATGAGCGCGCTGAATGAGCGTACGAAGCCCTCTAATACGAGAAAAGGAACGCGAGCACCACATACATGTAAACACGTTGGCGTCCTCTCTCTCCTGCTGGCGTAGGCGATGCCGTGGGTCGTCCCATGCTGGTGGAACCCCTGCTGAGTCTAGTATCTGGAAGATCTGGTCTTCGGCAGCGCGAGCAAGGGTGTCTCGCTGAATATGCCGAACGTGAGAAGCTAGCGCCTGCCTAATTGTCTGCTTCCACCCCACTGCTGACTTCTTGGCCTCCATCTCCCAAGACTGCAAGTTCTCGAGGGGGTCAGGGAGCTCCTGAAACCTACGAGTGTACAAACGTAGCCATCCAAGATCCTCCAAAATCATGTGTCCCCAGGTCCTGGAAGTCTCAATCATAGCTGTGTGAACCAAAGCCATAATGTGGGGCGGACCTGATAGCAAGAGGCGGCCAAAAAGGCGAAGCCTGTGGGCAGACAGAAGTGCGTCGAGCGGTGGGCGGCCCACTCGTGCAAGTACAAACTTAGACGGCATGGCAGTGTCGTCCGCACGGGGAAGTCTGGCAATGGCACGATAATAACGGAGGAGACCGTCTTGAAGATGATTGTGCTGTGCTTGGGTAAGAAAGCCCCATGTGCTGGATTGAAATAATCTCCCAGAGCAAACAAGAGAGTCCAAGAAAACCAAGGCAGTCTGCATCTCGATAGTCTTGTGCTTAAAAACCTTGCCACGAAGAACCCTCCAAGCCTGCGAACACCCCGAAAGACGGTGAGCCAGTTCAGGCCCCATAGACGCCGACATATCATGCTTAGTACCAAGATGCACATATTCTTGAACACGATGAAGACACATGGGCCCCATACTATGCGTATACGTATGAATGGTGTTGTGCAACGACTGTACCAAGGTACGTTTGGTCCCTTTGGAGGGAAGCCCACGAAACTGAAATAGAAAGGCAGACTCACCCGGTTTGAGTTTACTTGGAGGCCCGAAGTTGAGAATGCGTCAATGACCACGGAGGCAATGAACGGCGCTTGCTGCAAGAGGATGCTGGCACGGCCTTCAAAGCAGAACAAGGCGTCATCAAAGAAGGCGCCGTCCATAGAGTGACATGTGTGAACTGGCGGCTGCTCCACATTCCCCGCGGCGTAGATCGCGAGAGACGAGACGAGGTGACAGAGAAGACGAAGCCCTACACCCAAAGCGAGAAGACCTTCCTGGGCAGTAGCCATGATTTTGGCCATGATGAAATTGAAAACCAAATCGCCAAGTTGCTGGCCAGGCCCAGAGCCCAAACAGGGCAACGCCACACCCGATCCGTCTTGCACATAAAACCAGGATTGATCGTACGCATCCGAAATTTGGCCCCGACGAAATGCCGAAACTCCGTGATGTTCGAGCAGGGGGGTGGACGATCGTATGGTTTCCGCCAGATCCTGAGTGGCCTCCGGAGGTAACCCACAGAACTTGAGTAACTTGGCGATGGCTTCGTCATTGGCAGAGGTACGAAATAT